ATTTCATAAGTTCTCAATTGGAGGACATCATGGCGTTTTAAAGATCTTTTACCGAATCAGACAAGAATACTATTGGGAAAATATGAAAGATAATATTCAGAGACGTATTCAACAATGTCTCGAATGCCAGCTAAAGAAATTATCACGTTTACAAACTAAACAACCGATGATAATAACTAATACATGAACTACGGTAATCGATTAAATTGCGATGGATATTGTGGACCCTTTAAAAAGAACCATAAAAGGAAACGAATACATTTTAATCTTGCAGGATCAACAATAAGTAAATTTTGCCTGGCTGTCCCATTACCAGACATCTTATCATCTACAATAGCTGACGCTTTCATCAAGAAATTCATTTGTGTTTTTGGATGTCCAAAAGTTGTACTTACTGATCAAGGCAAAAACTTTTTAAGTTCGCTAATGACGCGTGTTTCTAAGCGGTTTAAAATAAAAAATTGAAAACTATAGCATTCATGCCTCAATCCAACGGCTCCCTTGAGAAATCCCATTACGCACTTACTGAATACATAAAACAATACACCGACATTGACAATGATTGGGATGATTGGCTCAATTTAGCTATCCTGAATTACAATACCTGCGTACAAGAAAGTATCAAGCATACGCAGTATGAAGTCGTATTTAGCCGATTAACTCGAATGCCTTCGAGTAATCTTCTTCGTGAGAACGATACATTGCCTACATGTAAGGGATATATAATAGATTTAGTTACGCGTTTATGTAGTATACGGAAACTAGCTTACGAAAATTTAGTTAGTTCTAAAGAACGATAGAAAAAATATTATAATAATCGTATATATAAAACCAAAAGATTTTAGTTTAGGTGATTACGTATTTTTAAAATCAGGACCTAAACTAGGGAAATGCGGGGATTATTACTCAGGACCTTATAAAATAGTCGGTATTCTACCAAAACATAATGTTAAAATAGTAACTAAAAAGGGCACAAAGGTAGTTCATTCAAATAGATCCCGAATTTCACATATTAACAAATCAACCAAAGAAACCAAACACAATATATATATATATATATATATATATATATATATATATATACAATAATAATAAAAAATATCCATATATAAATATATATATATAATAAAAATATGATCACAATAATGATAGTAATGTATAAAATATATCTTTTTTGACAATCAAACAAAAGGAACATATAATGTAATATTTTCTGATTACAGAACTATAACATGATGTATACTCTTTTATTATCACTGCTATTCCTAATAATAGTTAACCCAATTATACAGCCATCATAGGATACGATTGCGAAGCAAGATCTTTCAACATAATGACTATATCCTTATTAAACATGGAAGAATGTGACGTGCCTTCTACAAATATAAATATAACAAAAAAATACATTCAATTGTTACAGTTAAATAATTATGAAAACACAAGTGGTTCAATGTAAAGTCCAAGTAGATCGAACTGTTTATTATTGTGGAATGCATTCACACAATTTCATAATAGAGAATGGCGCAATAGAATATTTAATGGATATAAGCCGACAAACTTGTTATCATTTCTACAAAAGCGGTACATTCTATTTTGACAATTTGCATGTGTTTCGAGATATTAAAGTTAACCAAACCACAGTTAAATCTAGAATACTTGGAGGAAGTGTAACTATGGTAGTTATTCCGATGCTCATGGAAGTTGGAGTTCAGTAGTGGTCCAAGCTAAAATAAGAGTAACTTTTCAAGAATATACCTCTTCTGTCGACTTAGATAACAATCAAATAATATTACGTAGTGGGGTTATATGTAATTTAGGTAATGAACATCATATTGATTCTGAAAGAGGATATACCTTTTAGGAAAGCATACCTAAAGATGTATGTAAATTTAATCAGTATCATATATTGTATAAAGGTGTAGCTAACCGGATTGAAGGTGAAATTGAACAAACTTTATATTCATTAGTAATACAAGACATCGCATTCGCATTAATGTCCTTTTCTAAACGTCCTCTATGTGGTTATGAAATTATAGTTACCGAACATCCAAAATTATTTGTCTATGTTGTCGAAAATAATACGTTTTTCCTCAGTAAGAAGATATCGTTGAATGACCTGGATATATTTGCATATGTAAATTAAAAATTTGTATATGTAGAACGTCATATAAAGGTACAAATAAGTCGTATGTACAAGAATATTGTCGTGTATCGCTGTAAGCAAGAAAGAGAAATTTTGAAAAATGCACTTGCAATTGCTAGTCAATCTTCCGATCAGTTTGCCTATAATCTCATGAAGGAACCCGGATATATGGCTGTAAGAGCAGGAGAGGTAGTGCACATCGTTAAGTGTATACCCGTTGATGTGAAAGTCTCACAGGGAGACGAATGTTATGCCGAATTGAAAGTGATTCATAACATTCATATCAGGTTTGCATCTCCTAAAATTCACATTTTAACAATAGTTGACTGTAATGCTCTGCTACCTACATTCTTTTATTTCAATGACGATTGGTATATGTTTTTGCCCAGAGCAGTAGTAGCAAAAACACCCACCACTCTTAAGCCTTTTCCTGGGTTAACCTTGAAATACCAGAATATTCCTTCTGTGAATATGCCACAAGTGGAATTTATAATAATGGAATATATATATATAACTCTATTCTACCATCACAATCTCAAGCTGTTAAGCCATTGTTTGGGTTTCTTCCATGTTAGGGTCAAGACATTCGAAGTTATAAAAAAAAATAAATATTGTTATGTGTGGCTCATTTGAAGAGCAAAAGAACGTTTACGTTGCTAAGCAACCTCTCTCTCGTCGGTGTTATGATTTTTTTTTAGTTGGTTGTATCAATAGCTCGATTCTGATAATACCTGTTATAAACCTATTTCTGAGTTTCGAAAATAAAACTCACTATCATTCTTTCATAATAAAGTTGTTATTATCTTTTGTGAGTGTGTGAGTTTAACAATATAATGATAATATTTTGATTACAGCGTGATACGACAAGATACTTATAAATAGGATTAAAGTTCGAATGCTCTTCCTCCCCGCACTCCTCTAGCAATTATTTAAGTGTGGGGGTGTGATGGCCGGCCATAACTTAGTCTTTTTTATCCTAATTAATTAATAGAAATAAATATTAAGAATGGAATGGGAACCTTCATGATTTCCCACGATAAAAATGCATTTGAGATAAGGTGTTTATATAAAACTTGATAGTGGCCCGAGCCTGCGTACCCGACCTCACAATCAACGCTCTATCCTGCTTTGTCCCACATGCAATATATTGACAGGAGCCTATGATCATCACGTATACATCTTGAAGCGTTATCACGCCGATAAGAAGAGGGGACCATCAAAATGCAATCTATCTTTTTTCCCAGTTCAACCCTTGCAATAACAAAATAACTAATAAATAATTTCGTGTTTTAAGTGAACAGAACAATAGAACCGTAATGCATTTTATAATAACTCTTAGGAGTTTTTGGATTTTTCTAAATGTTTATAATAGTTAATTATTGAATTATTGTAATTTATAGTTATTAAGTAATCACTATGTATCGTTAAAATTAACAAAGTCTAGTACGATTTTGTACAAGTAATTGTAAACATTAGCGTCACTCTTGCTCTCAAAAGTGGCACTCCAAGAGCCATCTTTGGAGAAAAAGGTCCAAGTTAAAAAAGGACCGCCCTATCTCTCTCTGAAAATTCACGCCCACAGACCAATAAAGAAATCCTAGATATGATTAGAAAATTTTCCACCAATACAAAACTTGGCCGTTATCGCTTCATGGGCCTGAGGAAAGGGATTTCCACCTAACCATCCACTGCTAATAAAAAGCTCTGTATAAGATTGTGGGACCAGGAAGTGCTGGAGGAAACACAGAAGGATAGAAAAATGTTTGAAGAATCAGCAGTGCAGTGTAGTGCCAAGAAGTCAGACAAGAACTCAGCCAAAAACTCAGTCAAGAAGTCAGCCAAGTGCATCCAGAATAAAGAGAGAGAGAGGGAGATAGAGGTCAAAGAGAAGAGAGTGCGCAGCCTAAATATCAAATAATCAATAAAATAAAAGTAAGTAAAACCTTATATCTGGCTGACCTTTTCATTCTTTAAGTAGTTCCTTCTTTGGAAATTCATGAAGCGTGAGTCTGGTGAATTTTCATTAAAATCCCTTAAGAGTACATTAAGTGAGAGTCTGGTGTGTTCGTAATAATCATTTGGTTATTACATACCGCGCTAGCATAGTTTTCTTCACGCAATAATATTTTTCGTCTCGGCTTATGTTTTACACGATAGCTAAATCAGAGCAACCCTGTGTTTACGCTTACTCCAAGCGTACCTGAGAGTGATCCCGATGTCATAACATAGAGATTTAAAATTTCATAAAAAACCGTAGCTCAAAACTTAAGTTGATTTGAATATTGAAAAAAAGAGCTAAAAATGAGTTTCAAAAATTGTTCTATAAGCTCACGTTCTATTATGTGTCAATCTGATTTCGAGTGAGGAAGAAGAGGGAAATGGTTTCAGCGCCTCAAGAAAGCTGAGTAGTGGAGTTACCTCGTTTTAAAAGCAATTTGAGTTTCGACTAGCCTCATTCTGTCTCAAGAATCAGGTACTAGAAGTAGTATCCTGTCCTCTACTTCTAATCTAGAAATCCTAGTAGTTAAAAAGAAGAAAAAGCTGAACTTTGAAATATTAAATAAAATAGCTACGTATCTATTTGATTCACTCTCCATAAAGAATTATCATGAATTACATGAACATCAAAATTATCAAGGCATGAAACATGAGGAATTGAAGATTATTTTTGAATTCCAAATCATTCTCCCGGGCCGAATTTCAAGAGCAATTCACAATTACTTTCATCGGAATATTGAAATATCTGAAAGTGTTCAACTATACGTCTTATATTTAAAGTATTAGGTATGTGATAGATTTAAATTGTCTTTTCGTTGTAATTAAAGTCTCTTTTATTTCATTTCAATAAAGTTCATCCTTAAATTTCTTTGTGGAGAGGCAAATGAGTCACAGTTGGTTTTACTAAAGCAGGTTTTGACCTTGTTTTAATGGACTTACAAGTGACGTTAAATAGAGGTACTTCAAAGGTGAAGGCGAAGGTTGGAGCTTTCTGCATTAAAAATAAAGAAAATTTTTTAGATATTTTACTATTTTGAATATAAAAATGTTTATTACATGAAAATTACTACTCGTTGAATAATGCAATAAAATTTTTTACTTATGATAAAATAGAATTTTGTCTTCCATTCATTCATTTATTCATTCATACTTGCTTTATGAACCCATGAATTATGTAAATTATTAAATCCTAACCATTTTACACAGATTTTATTGCCACGTTTTTTCAAAACTATTTTCCCAAGATAGGCAGTGGGATATATAGCTTTTTTTTTTTTTTTTTTTTTTTAACGTCGCTCTATTTATGCTTCATCAGTGCTAATCAGCGACGGAGGCTTGCAATGTGTTTGAGAACAAAGCACATGAAACTTTTTTCAGTGGTGCTTGTATCAATCAGCAGGAACTGGGAATCGAACCCGGGCTTACCGGGTGCGAGTCCGTCGCCCTACCGACCGAGCCATTGCAGGCCTCATATAGCTTTTTGCAGTTCTTGTTCATAGAAAGCTCAATGTTGGGGTTGGTGAACAAGAATGAATGTGCGTATTTAAATTAGAAATTAAGGATGACAAGTTTATTGACAAACACAAATAAGATTGAATTAATTAACAAATACAATACAAATGAAGCGATACACAATAAACATACGTTTACGGCCGTGATTATGGTAAACGCAAATCGCACGCACGTTATAATAATTAAAGGACACGAACAACTTGCCCGTGCGAGATCTAAGCTCAGAGTTCCGTCAAAGTTTCTCTTTCTCGGGAAAGCAAATTTTCCTCCCTTCTCTTTTGGTGACGTCGCCAACCTGGGGCGTGACCCGTAGAGGGCCTGAAAAAAACAAATAGCGCTAACGCGCTCTTTCTCTCTGTCTCTCTCCTCTTGCCTTGCTCGTAGACTGCCAATACAGCCTCGGACCAGCCCGCTTGCAGGGTCCGAGCTGTACAACCCTCTGCCTGGGTTTAGAGGTCGATGTCTGGGTCGTTGGGCTCACCGCCTAGGTTACGAACTAAACAATAACCTTGCTGGTCACGACGAGTAACGACAAAGAGGAGATTAACAGTTCTTCACGCATGCTAATATAAATAATTGCAGCTCTGTTTCCCAGATCCCACGCGAGCACGCGCCTCCCTCCCAAACCGCTTGCCATTTTTTCACGGCTTCATGTTTCTTTGAAACAAACGCCATTCGCATCTCGCGCTGCAAACGTTGATCTACACTCAACTCACACACCCAAGATTACAGCTTCATCGCATATGCCGCAATTATTCTAACGATTGTCCACGACGAGCAGACTTTCGAACATTTCAAACCAGTCTAAGAAAACGTGTCAACAGACCCCCCTGCGCTAAACGGGCGCCCATGAAACCAGACGAGCAACGACGGGTAATAATGCAAAAAAAAAGAACACTAAAAGAGCAATAAAACATACAGGCGTCGATATTTAATGGGGGTTTCGCTCTAAAGGCCGCGGAGGCTAAATTAATGGAGACTACCGGTGTGCGCTCGACGACAAAAAAGAAATAAAGATCTCTACCTAAACCTTTTCCAAACATCTGCTGGACACATGCGCGTTTGAAAATTTCTCGCTCGTAATTGCGCGAACTTGATCCGTAACAATCTCCCCCGTCAAACATTAGTTGGTGTTTGACTCACAAATTTTGAAGAGTTTATGCACAGGCCTGGTCAACTCACTTTTCCCTTTGCGTATTTTGGCTACACGAACTATCCTGTCAGAGCGACTTCGATAAACTTCGATGATTTTGCCCTTCCTCTAAAGGTTTCGCGGTGCTTAGAAGTCAACGATTAATACTATGTCCCCGACGTTTAAGGGTGCTTCTGGCTTATTCCATTTTTTACGAGGTAGTGGCGTCGGTAAATATTCGCGGAGCCACCTTTTCCAAAACGTTAGCGCAAAGTATTGGACCAACTCGAATGTTTTGCGCGGACTCACGATTTCGGCTTCGTATCGCTCTAATCTTAGGTGCCCTGGCGAAGATCCGATCAAAAAATGATTTGGCGTGAGCGCTTCCTCGTTATTTGGGTTCACGGAAACGTGCGTAAGCGGTCGCGAGTTCACCATATGTTCGATTTCTACGAGTAACGTGCTTAAAACTTCCTCGGTGGGCACTTCACCCTTCAGCGCGTGGTCTAACGCTACTTTGACTGATCGAATCCGCCGCTCCCAGGCTCTCCCCATATAAGTAGCATCGGGTGGATTAAAGCGCCATTCGAAGCCTTTCTCTTCGGCAAATCGCCGCTGTCTCTCGGTATCTATACCACTAACCGCGTCTTTCAGCTCCTTGCTGGCTTTCGTAAAATTTGTCCCGTTATCGCTATACATCATTCGCGGAAACTTCCTCCTATTCGCAAATCGCTGTATAGACATTATTGCGGAGCTTGCAGTCAGACTATTTGCTATTTCTAGGTAAATCGCACGAATCGTCATGCACGTGAAAAGTACGCCCCAGCGTTTCTCGCACCGGCGCCCTATTTTGACAATCATCGGCCCGAAATAATCTATTCCGCAGTGAGTAAAAGGTCGAAGGTTGTATGCTACGCGACATTTAGGCAAGTTAGCCATTGGTGGATTTTGAGGTTGCGCTCGACGTAATTTGCAGGTTAAACAATCTCGCGCTAGCGTACGTAATCTGCGTCTGAGCCCGACGATAAAAAACTCTTGCCTCAATTCATTAACTATTGTCTCGTTGTTTGCGTGAAAAAATCGCTTATGATACGAATCAATTAATAACTTAGTGGCAAAATGACGCGCATCGAGAATAATTGGATTATAACTAAGCTCTGCTCCCTGTACGCGACTCTCTGCTCTAAGGATCCCGTTTTTATCGATGAATGGGCGTAAATTTATTAACTTGCTACCTTTGCGGAATTCCTTTTGTCGGTTTAGCGCGTCGATCTCTTCTGCAAAGCATGCACGTTGGATCTCTCTATACCAGAATCGCATGGCTTCGGGCCTTACTTCGGCTAATGTTGCTTGTGATTGCGGGCGAAGAGATGGCTGTTCACTTTTATTTTTCGACCTGCAACGGCTCCATTTATTCACGCAGTTTCGTACTCGAGTTGCTACGACTAGAAGCCCGCGCCAACCAAGTAATTTCACGGTTAACGGTGTTGACACTATATTAGCTATTGAAGTACCGATGAAGTCTTTTCGCGTTTCTAATTCATTTATTTGCACCAATTCATCCGCTTTGAGTTTTCGCTCTTCAGGCCACGAACTAGGGGGACCGCGGTCCTGTAAGCCATCGATCAGTTGAAGACATTGGGCGTGTCGAAGCGCGTGTAGCGTCGTCCGCCGGATTCATACGGGTTGGTACCCATCGCCACTGCGAAACCTGTGTTATTTCCGCTATCTCGCCTAAACGGTTCTTAACGTACGTCAATTTCAAATGAGGCCCGACGTGAATCCACTGCAGTACTGTAGACGAGTCAGACCAAAACACGACATTGTTTATTTTAATATCTAATTCTTTTGAAATATTTGCAGCTAGTCTTGTGCCAAGGACAGCGGCTTGAAGTTCTAAGCGTGGTATTGTTGTGGACTTTACCGGTGCCACTCTCGTTTTCGCCATCACAAGCGATAAATAAACTTTGCCGTCGGGAGATGTGGTTCGAAGGTATGCTACAGCGGCATAGGCTTGCAAGCTTGCATCACAGAACACGTGTAACTCTGTGCGCGCGTAATCAACGCCCATTGGTATAAAACATCGCGAGATTTCGCATTTTGTCATTTCAAGCCCGTTCTGTAACCACGCTTTCCACGTTTGAAATTTTTCGTCTCTAATTTTCGCGTCCCAAGCTACGCCGCTGCGCCAGATATGTTGCAGCATTATTTTGGCATTAATACTAAATGGTGACAGAATACCGAGTGGATCGTACACGGACATCACTATACTGCAGAACTCCCTTTTAGTAGGTTCCGTTGCGCCGGTCAATAAATCATCGCGAAGCTTTTTAATGCCTACATGAAAACGCAGACAGTCGTTCTCGCGATCCCAAAACAAACCTAAAACTCTGTCTTCTTCCTCGCATAGGCTAGCTTTCTCGTTTTTACATAGCAGATTTTCTTTTCTCACGTCTCGCACGATCTCCGGGACGTTCGAAGCCAATCCATGCATTTCGAAATTCGCTTCTTTGTTGATAAAGATGACATCGTTCACTAATTTACGCATGGCAGCGACACTTTTACCGCTCGTTAAGTAATCGTCCATATAATAGTTTCGCACTAGACTTTTCGCTGCCTCGGGCTTGACCGTCGCATATTGCTCGACGTTTTTATTTTTTACGTAGAGCGCGCTACACAGCGAGGATTTCGAGCCGAAAATAAAACACGTCATTTGATATTCATCAGGCTCGCGGTGACAGTCAGCTCCACGATAAAGGAGGTGTTGGTCAGCTCGATCTTTTTCCCTGACTTTAATTGGAAGATACATATCTTTTATGTCTCCTATCACGGCGAAGGGATATTCACGGAATCTAAGCAACACTCCGTGAATGGTTGAAGAAGGTCAGGGCCTTTGTCAAGCAAATCGTTGAAGCTAACTCCCTCGGTTTTCTCGGCTGCGTCGAGTACCGGACAGACTTTTCCTGGTTTGTTAGGATTTTTAACGAAAAAGTGCGATATGTAACGTTTGGGTGCTGAATTTAGACTGTTGTCGACTTTGACCGCGTATCCATTTTCGATGAAGCGGTCCATCTCTCTATAATAAGCCGTTGCAGTTTAAACATCACGGTCTAATTTACGTTCTAACGCGTACAATCGTTTTAACGCCGTTCCTCGTGTATCTATTTTAGGCAGAGTATCTGTTTTCCAAAGAAGTCCCATCTTCCACGCTTTTCCCACTTTCCTCGTCGTTTCGCGCAGAATTCTCCTGGCTCTGTCTTCATCTGACTGCCTCACTGTAGTCGCAGAAACCCCAAGATTTTCCAGATCAAAGTAATTTTTTATTAACAGGTCAAGTTCTGCTAATCTCTCGTTTTCCGTATTCGCGCATGTCGTTTGCGTAAAGCAAATCGCATGTACACTACCGTCCATAAAGATTTGCCATCCCCTTGCTGAAATCATCAAAATTTTAGAGTTTTATGGCTCAGTTTCTATAAGAGCTAGAAAATCCTGCGGGGTCTCATTTGAAAGGTCTTGCCAAGACCTTTCAAATGTTGTAAAACATAATTGATTTTATTTGTTTTTTGTACAACTTGTGACGTCATAAACAAATTGTTTTTTTTTTAATTTTTTCACTTTCTACTTCGACCCCGATTTATTTATATAACGGATTCTACGATGGAAAAACTGTATAAGCCATTCGATAGAGCTTTCAAAAAGCTACAAAATTTATTTTTTATGAGCTATATGGTGTTTTATACAAAAACAAAGATTTTCAAAAAATGGGCTGAATTTTTTTTATTTTCAACTCTAAAGAAAAAACTCTCAGAAGAAAAAATGTAGTATTTTGCAAGAGCTATCAAATGCGCCACTCAGAATTAAAAAAAAAAAATTTTTTTTTTTCACGTTTTTTAGAATTGAAATTTTCCTAGAAAAAAAACTGAAATTACATATATTTAATAAAATTAGTAAGTAACTAGTATTTATAACTTAATGGGCTTACAAACAATGATAACAAGATACATTTATTGTATTCAACGTCTGTAACAGAGGAATTTGCATTGTTTTCATTTTTAATGACTTTCTACAGTATTGTGCTCACCGATAATCACTGTGATAATCACTGAGTGTTTACGTGGTTTGATTTACTTAACTTGTATGAATGTATACATATAGCAAAGAATATGTATGGAAATTCAGTCTCTTATCAGCTTTAATGAGTGAAATATCAATGTGTCCAATCTAGTCAGTAAATTATGCATGTATTTTTTGTTCATTAAAAATGACGAAAAAAAGAAACTTAAGCATTGAAGAGCGATCTGAGATAGTAGCCTTGCATAAAGTGAATAAAAGTAATAATGAAATTTCCAAAATTTTGAATATTCCAAGAAGAACAATTGATTATAACATTAAAAAATTCATAACTCAAGGAAATATCAAAAACAAAAAAATTTCAGGAAGGCCTAGGAAAACTACGAGCGCTACTAATAAACACATTTGTAGTACAAGTACACATAATCCAAGACTCACGGCACCCGAACTTGCTGTTGAAACTCAAAAAGCGTATGATGTTAAACTTAGTGTTACTACGATAAAGAGACGACTTCATGAAGATGGACTATACGGTCGAATAGCAATTAAAAAGCCTTTACTAAAACCGATTAATAAAAAGAAACGATTGGCTTGGGCCAGAAAACATAAAATTTGGACCATTGATGATCGGAAAAAAGTTTTGTGGTCTCATGAGAGTAAATTCGAAGTTTTTGGTAGTAAACGTAGATGTTTTGTGCGGAGAAAAAATAAACAAAAACATTTAGAGAAAAATATGTGTGCTTCGGTTAAACATGGTAGCGGCTCAGTAATGGTATGGGGTTGTTTTGGTGGTTCTAAGGTTGGTAACCTTCTTAAAATTGATGGCAAGTTGAAAAAAGAAGGTTACAAAAAAATTCTTGAAAAAAATGTTGTATCTTTCGGAACAAGAATAATTGGTCGTAAATTTACGTTCCAACAAGATAACGACCCAAAGCATACTTCAAAGTTATGTAAAAGTTATCTTGCTCAATTGGAGAAGAAAAAAAAATTAGTTGTGATGGAATGGCTCTCCTGATCTTAACCCTATCGAACTGTTGTGGGATGATCTAGATAGAGCTGTAAGGAAGGTAGGACCTACTTCCCAGAAGGATCTTTGGAATATCTTAGAAAATGAGTGGAAAAAAATAAGTGCAGAAACTTTAGAGAAACTTGTAGCACGAATGCCTCGAATTTGTAAAGTAGTTATAGCAAACAAAGGTGGACATTTCGATGAAAAAAACGTTTAAATAATTAGTATTGTTTCGTTTTTGTTTACAACTGAAATTTATATTCAGATTGTGATAATATATTAATTACAAGCATTATTAGTATTATAAATAATGAAATTATTATTGTTATGTTATTATTGAAACGTTGTAATAAATAAATTTTGTAGAAAAATTGTAACCAAATTATGTTAATCTATTCTGAGTCAGTAATAAATTATGGTTCATTAAATGTATCTTGTTATTAATGTTTGTAAGCCCATTCAGTTATAAATACTAGTTACTTACTAATTTTATTATATACGAGGTGTGTTCAAAAAGTAAGGTGACTTTTCAAATTTCACGGGCAACGTACTTTCGATTATCGATTTTTTTGTTTTGTTATGTTGGTCCACTCTTCCCGAACATCTGTACCAAGTTTCAAGTGTATTGCACTTTTTGTTTGGTTGTGAGAGGCGTAAAGGTTATAAGTGTTTTGCGTGCTCGGCGATTTCTTGCTATCGAAAAATATGGATCAAAGGATTTGCATCAAATTTTGTGTAAAAAATAACATAAAGTGCTCCGAAACACTTGAAATGTTGACGGTGGCATACGGTGAAACTGTTCTGAGTAAAAAAAATGTTTACAAGTGGCACAAACTCTTCCAAGTTGGCCGGGAAGATGCCAATGACGAGCCTCGCTCTGGACGCCCAAGCACGTCAACAACTGATGAAAACGTTCAAGTAGTGAAGAAAATTGTCTGGAAAATCGTCGAATCACTATCAGAGAAGTTGCTGAGGATGTTGGTATATCGCTTGGCTCGTGCCATGAAATTTTTTCTAACGTTTTGGGCATGAGACGTGTGTCAGCGAAGTATGTTCCGAAATTGCTAAATTTTGACCAAAAGAACCGTCGCATGAGCGACGACCCAGATTTACTCAAAAAGGTCATAACTGGTGACGAATCATGGGTATATGGTTATGATATCGAAACCAAAGTCCAATCGTCCCAATGGAAGAGCCCAGATGAGCCAAGACCACAAAAAGCACGCCAAGTTTGATCAAATGTCAAAGTTTTGCTCACTGTTTTCTTCGATTACCATGGCGTGGTGCATCAGAAGTTCTTACGTACGGTCAATAAACAGTATTAAGTTATGCGCCGTTTGCGAGATGCAATACGAAGAAAACGCCCAGAATTGTGTAAAAACAATTCATGGCTTTTGCATCACGATGATGCCCCTGCCTACTCATTTTTGCTTGTGAGAGATTTTTTGGCCAAAAACAACACCACAATCATGCCTCAGCCACCATATTCACCGGATTTGGCCCCATGTGACTTTTTCTTGTTCCCAAAACTAAAGAGACCTATGAAAGGACGGAGATTTGCAACGATTGAAGAGATAAAGACTGCATCGCTGGAAGAGCTCAAGGCTATACCGAAAAGTGCTTATGAGAAGTGCTTTGAGGATTGGAAAAACCGTTGGCATAAGTGTATTGTATCAGAGGGGGATTACTTTGAAAGGGACATGTTGAGACCGATGCCGCCAGGCAAGAGTCTATATTTTATTTACACATTTGAATTCGCGCGCTAATTATCACGCGCACTCTCGCGGGAGTGCGAGGACCGTGTTTTGCTCCTCCCATTTCCGCGCAGTCGAACGTCGCTTCGTTTGACCCTAACTTTTGAATTTGGAGTTCGGTGAGTGCGTGCTGTGCCTCATCGCTCCATTTTTATAACCGTTATTTTCAACTCTTTTATTATTAAATTCAATTGCCTTTAACTAGTCAACCTTTGTAAATAGTAGTACAAATAAATTGTTAAGTTTGAAGTGGAATAATCCAATCGGTTATTTTTCCTACTCCAAGACAACTCAAACCGCTCAAAATTCACCGACACTCTCGCTTCGTAAAAGATCGGCGTAGTTTTACTTGGATCAAGAAGGTGGTAATTGATCGAGATTGCTCGCAAAAAATACAGGACAACATAAATATTGATAAATAAATAAATATTTTTTCTTAAAAATACAAAGTCACCTTACTTTTTGAACACACCTCGTATATGTAATTTCAGTTTTTTTTCTAGAAAAATTTCAATTCTAAAAAACGTGAAAAAAAAAATTTTTTTTTTAAATTCTGAGTGGCGCATTTGATAGCTCTTGCAAAATACTACATTTTTTTTCTGAGAGTTTTTTCTTTAGAGTTGAAAATTAAAAAAATACAGCCCATTTTTTGAAAATCTTTGTTTTTGTATAAAACACCATATAGCTCATAAAAAATAAAGGTAAAAAAATTTTTCGGATATGGATTTTGTAGCTTTTTGAAAGCTTTATCGAATGGCTTATACAGTTTTTCCATCGTAGAATCCGTTATATAAATAAATCGGGGTCGAAGTTGATGTGAAAAAATTAAAAAAAACAATTTGTTTATGACGTCACAAGTTGTACAAAAAACAAATAAAATCAATTATGTTTTACAACATTTGAAAGGTCTTGGCAAGACCTTTCAAATGAGACCCCGCAGGATTTTCTAGCTCTTATAGAAACTGAGCCATAAAA